ATGGCCATTTGCAGTTGTAAACTTAGTATCCAAGCCTTTGAGTGCTTGCAAGGCTGGCGGTGACCTTGTTTTGATACAAACCTTTCTTTTCTCATGTTAATAGTGCAGACAAAATACATCTGATTCTAATCTTACACGCTTCCATGTCCAAAAGAGAGAAACAGAGAAAAAAATATGAAATAAGAGCAAAGACAACCCCAGGCTTGCATCTACCAATAATAAAAGTGACTGGAACAGTAGCTCATCCGATGTGTAAAAACCCTTAACATGCGATTTTCGTAAAAAGAAGTCGCCGGAAAGTTAACATAATAGAACTGAGAAAAATAAACAAAAAAAAGAGTTTTAGACTGTGGAACAAAGCAGAACAACTTACGTTTCAAACATTCATTAGCTCCTTGCCCAAGCCTCCACATGTTGAAGACAAATTAACCCTCGGACGTACACGCAAACTCACACCCCCACCGCAGTACAAAGGGAGAGGGTAGTTGGAACCCCTCCCTAGCATTTTCATTACGTTACAATATTTTGAAAAGTTTTTACCTTTAATAGATAGCCTGTTATGTTTTTTACAAAATGATGTAAATATTATGGGAAACATGCAAATGGCGCTTTTTTAGATTTTTTAATTTTTCTACTACAGCCATTTGGCTTGTTGAAAGAACAATAACTCTCCAACTTGACAGGAAAATAGGAAATAACACACAGAAAATAGGTCTATTGTACTTTCCTCTGGAATTTAAAAGCTTTAATTCTTTCATGGCTCATGTCAACTCTTAAGCCACACCTCACTTGTCATTCAATATCTCCTAAATCTATTGGCCGATTTTTACCAAATCTCCAGCAAATATGACTAAAACGGACTGGTGCCCATATAAGATCCTCTTTATGAAATTTTCCAAAAACAATCCCCCCCCCCCCGCTTGTATGTGCGAGGGTTAACAGGCAACAGCAAGAGGTTTTGAAAAGATAGTAAGCTTCATTTGATAAGTAGAATAATATTATTACAATAATTAGAATTAGTTAATTAAAGTTTAGTTATGTCTTTCAATAACGATAAAAGTCCATTTGTTTGGGTTTCTGTTAAAAGTCAACAAAATGTTCTGAAATGGACTCCATGACTTGCACTAATTAATTCCAATAAAATCGTACTGAGAAGAAAAACCTACAACAACCTGCAACTGGTAATCAAACTTAAAGATTGAAATTTTGGTTGTTGTGTTTTATTATAGGTTATCATAATAATTACAAGGCATATCTCAGATTCGTATTGACAACTGAAGAGTTTCATCACAAAACTTTTAAGTTAGTCCTAAAATATCTTTATATCAAGGCATGTCTTCTAAACAAGGCCCAACTCTGCGCGAGCTCTGCTTGCATTTCCGGTCACGTACTTTCCGACAAGGAACAGAATTAAAATATAAACAAACAACTGTGTTGGATAAATCTGGCCACGGTTGTAGCAGGTTTAATGAAATCAAAGCTAACAGAATCACAACACATCGATATATGTAAACCGATTAACCTACTGAATAAAAAATGGGGCGACAAAAATCCGCCACAAACTACAAAACAAAATATTTAAGAAAAGGAAAAAAGAAGAAAGAGGAAATGCCGTGAACAATAATAACCCGCAGGCAGGTGAAGGGGGAGGAGGAGGGAAAGATTTTGCTCGAGATCTGACCGAGTTGATGACGAGGGAGAGAAGGAAGAATTACTGGGAAAATATCTCAATATACCTACTTAACCCTGACACCGCCCTATAACCTAATTGGCTAGATTTGCAGTACCTGGTACAGCCTGACCTAGCGAGTTATCATGTGAGTATCATGCCTTGCCATAAATTACATTATGTCTGCCATAATGTCTAGTTTTATATCAAGGCATGTGTTCTGAACAAGGCCCAACTCTGCGCGAGCTCTGCTTGCATTTCCGGTCACGTACTTTCCGACAAGGAACAGAATTAAAATATAAACAAACAACTGTGTTGGATAAATCTGGCCACGGTTGTGGCAGGTTTAATGAAATCAAAGCTAACAGAATCACAACACATTGATATATGTAAACCGATTAACCTACTGAATAAAAAATGGGGCGACAAAAATCCGCCACAAGCCACACAACTGTGGCTGAAGCCCCACAAAAAGAAGCAAAGCTCACGTGAAAGCTGGAAAGAGAAAAATTGTTGGACACTTTTAAAACTATGAAGAAGAAGAAGAAAATAAAAATTTGTCAATACTGAACGTGACGCCAACGAAACGGCAGCCCTTGTCTGAACCGTGAAATTGAACGTCTGGTACAAATTAGAGAGATGATAATCGATAGGAAAATTCGGACAGTAGCAGCCCAATGACTGACCTACGCAACCAGCATAAGTACTAAAAAACCGCCTAACATTAAGACAAGCGAAACGAGAAATAATGCTAACCAAGTAGCTGCCCAATGACTGACGTACCAAAAAGGCATAATAACAGAACGAACTAAGTCATACGAAACGAGAACT